CCCCAAAACCCCAAAACCCCACATTTATTATAATTGACTTAAGTTGAGATAGAATGAAATAATAATATTTTATTATTTGACAGAATATACAATCCTTGAAATTACTCAACTAAATAAATGAAAGAAAATTAAGCATAAAAATTCTTATACAAATCAGAGAAATTTTAAGTCCAAAAAGACTTGACTTAAAACTATCTACCTCATCTTAATAGACATATTTTAAACAGCATAAACTAATAAGTTACTACTGAGAGCAAAGCATCGTTTAATGATCTACAAGAAGCATTAAATCATTATTTTATAAGCAATCATGATGACCCAAATGGATGCTATAGATATAAGGCAAAATAGTTAGAATTAATGCATTAGAATCTTGAACTACTCTTAAATACCTTGAAATTAAGGTAATTATAGGAAGGCATTATTAATTTTGAAAAATAAAATTCTTAAGTCAAGTAAAGATTTTTGAGAAACTTATTATCTGAATTCAAGAAAAAGTACAGCTAGATTATAGACTAGATAAAATTTGCAACTAGACTTTTTTCAACTCCTATCAAATTGAAAATGTGGTACGAATTCAAAACTGGAGTTGAAAAATTTGATAATTAATATCAAAAGTACTAGAAAGATGTTCTTAAAATATCTGATGAATAAATATATAAGTGTGAATTACTAGATTTCATCAATTAAGATAGCAGTGATATTTAGAATATTCTAGCAATAATAGACCTTGCTATTGAGGAGGAAGTGCCAAAGGATTATGTAAAAATAGAGCAGGCTAAATTATTAATTTTAAAGGATTTAAAGGAGGAAAATTTAATCTAATAGGAGGAAGCTTTTACTTAAGTTGACCCCCAAGACTTTAAAAAATCTAGAAATTTAAAACCAACATAAGTGATTATCAAAGAAGAGGTGAAAAATGATAATTAATGCTAATTGACTAATTAGATAACTGAGGATTTCTTAGATAAGACCTATACTGATAATTAAAAAGATTAAATTATAGTGAAAATTCAGGAGAAGCTATTTGGTAAAACAGATGGCTAATATGATGGTCATTAGTCTGTTTCATATAACACAAACTTTAGTTCAGAAATAACTGATGAAATGATGGAAGAATTCTAAAATTTGTTGTCACAAGAATAATGATTAAGTTGAATATATTAATGAAGAGAAGAGGATATACTTGCAATTTATATTGTATATTTATAACTTAAAAAAGTTTAAAAGCAAATCAGAATTTGTATTACGGGGTTTTGGGGTTTTGGGGG